AACACAAGTTAATAGAGGCTCTCGTTCTCGCATGTCCGGATTCCGGACCAACTATTCGGCAACCGAAAAGGAGTGCCTCGCCATAGTCTGGGGAATCCGGAAAATAAGACTCTACTTAGAGGGATATAAATTCAAGGTGATAACGGATCACATATCACTGAAGTGGCTGAATTCAATAGAAAGCCCTTCCGGTCGTATAGCACGATGGGCTTTATAATTACAGTAACATACTTTCGACATCGAATATCGCAAAGGGAAACTCAACCTAGTAGCGGACGCACTGTTCAGCCACTGGAGACCATCGAAAAACGACGATGGTGGCGCCACAATGCAACTGGTGGCGGAAGCGAGTAGGGAAGTACGCGCCAACCTCGAGAAGTACGCGGACTACATAGAAAAAGATGGACAACTCTATCGCCACATTCCGTGTCGATCCCAGGATGAAGAGGCTGTACCCTGGAGACTATGTGTGCCTAAATCCTCCGCCTAGGAGTTCTGCAAGAGAACCACGATATACCTAGCGCCGGACATATGGGTATACGCCGGACAGTAGCCCGGGTGGCTAACCGATATCACTGACCAGGGATGTTTCGCGATATTAGCCGTTACATACGTCAATGTAAGTCCTGCCAGAAATACAAGGAAGGTCAGCAGAAACCAGCAGGAAAGATGCTTTCGCAGGTGGCACAAGAACAGTTTGCCACAGTTTGCACTGACTTCATTGGACCCTTACCGCGATCTACGCATGGTAATACTATGTTATTAGTATTCTTCAACCGCTTCAGCAAGTGGGTAGAATTGGTCCCCATGATGCGCGCTACAGCAGAAAGACTTCGTCGCACATTCAGAGAACGAATCCTCGCAAGATTTGGCATCTCGAACATTCTTCTTTCGGACAAAAGCGTTCAATGTAGGAGTACGTAAGCAATTCACTGCACCTTACACCCCTCAAGAGAATCCCTCGGAACGATCCAATCGGACAATCAAACGAATTATAGCACAACTCAGTAAAGCCCGACACCAGCGATAGGACGATTTTCTTCCAGAGATCGAGCTCGCAGTGAATACCAGCATTTCGGCCTCCACGGGGTATAGCCCGGCATTCCTCATACAAGGACGAGAGCCGCGACTGTCTAAGGCCCTCTTCGACGAAGTTAATATCGGCACAGGTATGACACCCACGACGGCTGAAGAAAAGTCCAATAGGATGCAGGAAGCCTTTAAAATAGTTCGGCAAAATATGGAGAGGACGACAACGGATCAAGTCCGCCATTATAACCTGAAATGCAGAAAATGGACCCCCGCGATCGGAGAATTAGTTCTCGCGAAAGAGCATCACCTCTCTAAAGCCACTGAGGGTTTCGCCGCAAAGTAAGTCCCGAAGTATGATGGGACTTATTCAATTCTCAGGTATATTTCACCAGTGATCGTCCAACTTCGAAAAATTGACGGTGGAAAAAGAAAAGCAAATATCAGCGAATTGAAACCATACCACATAGCCGTAAGGTTTAAAAAAATAAAATAAATTAAAAATAAGAATAAAAAAATATTTGTATGAGCAAATTTGGTGACCAATCGTGAGGCTCCTTCTGATTCTTTCAGCGATCTGTGGGAAGGCCTTTAGTCCTGTTCCGTTTGCGTCGGCAATGGATATTTTTATGCCTTCAGGTGGAAGCTGTACCTCCGCGGATGGTTGTGACAAAGTCGGTGACTCTAATATTTCTGCGTCATTGGTCATATTCACAGTTTACTTTGAATGGCCTGTATGTCTTGTCTTGCTGAGAGCTCGCGGGTCCAATGGAGACGGTCACTTATATTGTATTTGAATGCCATTAATGTAATCAGTAAAGACCTTTCCTTAGGCCCAATATAGACAGTATAGTAATATCTAAAAATGTCGATTTTATAAATGGGCGAGTTCGGACCATTAAGACGCCTACAAAATGACGTTAATCGAAAACATATATAATGCTTTAACTAAGCTCCAAATTAAGATACAAACTGTAATTTTGTACAAGGGATACATGGTGAGGGCCGCCAGTAGGGTAAAATTTTTTAAAAAGTAGCCATGGTCCTACCCCTTGTAAACATATTTTGTAAACCTCTAAAGCTAAATCAACCAAACTTATTAAGAACAAATCTCATCCAATAATGGTTATGTTAAAATCTATCAAAAGTGCGATAACTCACTAAATAAATATGTCAGAGGCATTAAATTTTAAATTTATAACAATTTTAAATTTCATATGTATCCTTCACTTTAATATATATAATTCAAGAACCATTGAATGTATCCCAATGAATCTTTGCACAAATACTGCCTTTAAGGCATTCTATATCACGTCTAAAAATTGTAGAAATCGGACCATAACTTTTCATGCTCACAGATACCGAATACGTAACCGCATATGGCATGCTTTTTACCACAAATATCGGCAATTTATGAGGTAGTACGGATTATTTCCTGAAACGTATGCCTTTGCCTTTGTGTCAAAAATAATAAAATCAAGTAATACTTTCCCTAGTCCTCTTATTCTTTGGTATTATTGTGTCGAGATCGGGCCATTACTACCTCTAGCCCCCATACACCTAATATAAGGATCTTCAAAATTCCTGTTGACATTATATCATATATTTCGGTCAATATATGAGACGTCATCATCTTTGACTTGTAATGTAATGTCGTGGCGAAAAAATTAGCTCACATCGGGTCAATGCTCAAAGCCTCAAATACCTAATATAACGGTTTAAAACTTCCGGTTGGCTTTATACCGTATATATTGTATATATGCATGAGAGCGGAATGTAAATGACGTGGGATATCCCTGAAAATTGGACTTATCCCCTATATATACACTTGAATATATTTGAAATATTCTAAACTAACTCAAAACCACGGTCGAACACAATTGTTTATAAATATTTAGAATATTTTTATACGCTCGACATGTTACTAGAGTGTAATAGTTTTGTTCACCTAACGGTTTGTATCACCTAAAACTAATCGAGTTAGATATAGGGTTATGTATATTTAAATGATCAGGATGAGGAGACGAGTTGAAATTCGGGTGACTTTCTGTCCTTCCGTCCGTCTGCGCTAGTTGTAACTTGAGTAAAAATTGAGATATCTTTATGAAACTTGACACATGTTTCTTGGTAGCATAAGACGGTTGGTATTGCACTGCCACGCCTACAAAACGCCATTAATCCAAAACAAATAAATTGCCATAACTAAGCTACACAATAAGATACAAGACTGTTATTTGGTATATAGGATCACATTAGAGAAGGGCATTTGCAGGTAAAAAAATTTAAAAAAAGTGGGCGTGGTAATAGTTTTACTGTCCATATCTCACAATTCACTGAGAACGAAGTTTTAACACCTCTATCGACAGTGTGAAAATGTGTGAAATCGGGCGACAGCGCCGCTCCCCTAACGGTACTGTCAAAAACTACTATAAGCGCGATAAATCAAACACTAAACACGTCAGAAACATTAAATTTTATATTTGGCATGGTATGAGATGACTTTTTAGGAACCGCGTTCAAAATTAGACAGTGGGCGTGGCACAGCCCACTTTTAGGTAAAAACCCATATCTTGGGATCTGCTTAACCGATTTCAACCAAATTCAGTATATAACATTCCTCTCATACGTCTATGTTATAGTGCGAAAACCGGATTACAACCACGCCTATTTCCCATATAACACCATTTTAATTTTGATATTTCACTTTCCACTATGCAAATCAAGCAACAATATTTTTATCGGGATAAAACTTTGTGTGAGCGTTAAAGGTATGCCACCTTGTGACCAAAAATTGTCTAAATCGGATCGGATCAATATTTCCTTTAATATAAAATTTTACCAACACCTACAGTACTCTCCCGAGCTTTGATCCTTGCAAGTTGCGAGAGTATAAAATGTTCGGTTACACCCGAACTTAGAACTTCCTTACTTGCTAATAGTTGGATTTTAGTTTGATTTTTTACATTACCAAAAATTATAACTTAAAAGCTAGATGTGTGCAAAACCATGTACAGAAATTGAGTAATGATAACATTATTCAAATAAAAACAAAAGAGAACAACGTATTTCTAACTTCATAAAATGTCATTAAAACATGTTCTCGAGTATAATGGAGCAACACCAAATATTACTGCAATCCGTCCAGACCTTTCTATAGCTCCAATATATTCGATAGTGTGATTACCGACTTTCATATGTGTCATATTTCATCGAAATTTTTCTTAAGCTATACATAATTGTAATCGAATAATGTTAAATTACGCAACATTTTTATACACTTGCAACATATTGCTAAATAGTATATTAGTTTTGTGCACGTAAAGGTTGTATGTACAACACAAATAAAGCACATCGAGATTGATATAGAGGTATATACTTGCACATATGTGTATATAATAATGAGTGACTGTCTGCCCGTTCACTTCAAGTGATGAATTGAGTAAAAATTAAGATGTCGTGAGGAAACTTGATACATGTGTTTGTTGGCACACAAGAGAGGTTAGTATTGTACAATAGATGAACCACAAAGCGTTATTAATAGAAAACTTATAAATTGTCATAACCGGCCGCCAAATAAGATACAAAAATGTAATTTGGTGTTTCAAATCGAATTAAAGACGGGCACGTGTGGTTTGACAATTATTAAAAAGTGGCCATGACATTACCCCCTCATATCAAAGTTCAAGCTATATCACCCAAATTTGTACAGGAAAAATCCTTTTATTTGTATACCACTAAACATGAGTATAAGAGGGTTTTATAGGAGCCGGGGTGTAAATTGGACAATGTTTGTGATACCGTCCAAATTCGATACATAACATTATACTGACATTCATATAATATGTTAGAGTGCGAAAATTGGCGAAATCGGGCTACAACCACGCCTACTTCTTATATTGTACAACACACGTATGTCGAAGATGACGGTCAATCTCTGAGATATATATTAGAAATTCGGAAAAAATCCTTACCTGATAATAGTGCTGAATCGGATCTCCATGTACCTGATGTAAAGATTTTCAACTTTCGGTGGACTTCATAGCGCATCAATAAATTCAGAGTGAAGCTTTTTCCAATAACAGTGTATATTCGTGAAACCTGCGCGTGAAAACCTGCCCTAGCCCCCATATAACTAATAGCTTTACTTCTAAATATTGGTAGTATGTGAGGTTTAATAGTTTAATGTTTTAATATTTATACTCTAATTACAGAGTACACTTTTTTTTTATTACAACAATGTTCCTATTACAAACACACTTTTAGTTTAGGAATATTTAAATTACAATACAATACACACTTTTAGTTTTACAGCATTACTCAATGTCAGAGCACTCTTTTCGTTTTTCCACATGAGTGTTCAAAGTCCAGTCCGCATGGTCGTATTTCTCCGTCCCACAACTCGGCCATTCCTGACTACCTATTCGCCTTGAATAACGTTACCACCTTTTCATATAGTCCGCAGCGGTCGGTGTTAGCTTAGGTCCCTCATCATTTCCCACTCCTTCTACTTCGTATCGATCGTGTTTCAATCTTTTTAAAACCTTGTATTATCCCAAGAATTTGGGTCGTAACTTTATCCCGCTTCCAAATTGTGTTCGTCTAATTGCAACCAAGTCATTTACGTTATATTCAATTTCCTTTTTACGTTTCTTATTGAATGACTTCCTATTTGCTTTTTGACTTTTCCGTATGTTTTCTTTAGCTACTTCATGCAACTTATCACGCCTATCGTTTAACTTACTACTTCATTTTCTAAAATTCCGTTTAACGCAAGGTCCTCGTTTACTCGCATGTCACAACCTGTCAAAATCTTAAATGGGGCCTGTTTTGTACTTCGACTAAGAGAATTATTTATAAACTGCTGAACCTTTCCGATATACTTGTACCACTGTGAGGCATTCGGGTGAGATAATTTAGCAAGCATTGGGGTTACTACCATATGAATTCGTTCCACCTGTCCGTTTTCTGCTGGCACCGCCGTTTTAATAGATGTCGAATATTATTATTATATTATTATCATCGCAATAACTTTTGAAAGCTTGTGATGTAAATGCTGATCCTTTATCAGATATATTGGCTTGCTTTGAAAGCACATTTTAAACCACCTCCGCACTTGTATCTTTTGTTGGGTAAAGCCACACGAATTTTGTAAATGCATCGATCACAACTAGGATATATTTGTACTGTTTCCCGGTCGTTGTCATTGGGCCTACATGATCTATGTGAAATGTCCCTAAAGGATAATCTTCTTTCTCGATTGGCGACAAAAATCCTTCCAATTTATCACTCTTTGTGTTCATTATTAAACATTCGACACAACTGCTTACTATATTTTTTACTTTTTCCTCGAGCCCTGGAATGTAATAGTATTTTCCAATTCATTCATTCATTCATCTTTTACTTGTGCCTTTTATAGTCTATGCTGTAACGATTCGTCTATTGACATACGCGCTAGACTACTTAAAGCATCGACATGCTTCATTTTAGAGCCTGACCTATGTTCTATAGTATAATTAAATTCTTGGAAAAACAATACCCACCTAGCTACCCGTGGCATAACGTTTTTTTTTCTTAAATGTCATAGCAAATGCGTTGCAATCTGTTATGATTTTGAATTCTAAATCCAACAAATACCCTCTCCATTTCTTTAATGCGTTGACGATGGCGAGCACTTCGAGTTCATAAGAATGATAATTCTCTTCAGCTGAACTTGTTTTCTGGCTCATGAACTGTACTGGATGATATGCTTCATCGTCTGCCCTATTTTGTAACATTACTGCCCCATACCCATGCTTTGATGCATCTGTATGAACTTCTGTTATTGCGTTCGGGTTATACAATTCTTAAACTGGAGATTGTGATAGCGAAGTCTTTAGTTGCTCGAAATAAATTGCCTGTTTTTCCTTCCACTGAAAAACAACAACAACTGTTGTATGGCTTTTTTGTCTCTGGGAGGCTTAAAAGCTTTACCTGCTCTGGTTTTCTCGGCCGACGGAAAAATTGTGCTATTTTCGATTATATACCCCAAAAAATTTACTTTACGTTTCAAAAAATTACACTTTTTCCACTTAATCTGTAGTCCAGCACTGCTGCTGTAAGGACTTCCTAAAGTTTTATTAACCCCTCCTTTTCGTCTATAGATGGAATAAATAAGTCATCCATATAAGTGACTGCACTTCCCTTATCTTTTAGTTCCTTAAAAATCGAATGGATAAACCTGCAGAATACTGCTGGTGAATTAGAGATGCCAAACGGCACAAATTTAAATTAAAATTGACCTTTCATTGTAACAAACGATGTAGGTATATTTTCTAGGGCTTTCTTCGACAGGAATATGCACAAATCCGTTAGTCTGATCTAATGTGGAAATAATTTTATATCCCTGGAGTTTCTTAACTATCTCGTCCATCAATGTCATTGGGAAATTATAGCGCAAATTTGTCTCATTTAATTTGCGATAATCGCAACATAATCGCTTTGTTTTGCCCTTTTTAGTCACAAGCACAATCGGCGACGCGTAAGCGTATACACCTGGGGTAATAATATCTTCATCTAACCATTGCTTTACTTGAGCATCTATTATTATTTGATCTTGAAACGATACGCTCCTGGGTGGCTGATGTATCGGTACATCATCTTTTAAAATAATTTTCATTTCCACTGGGGAAAATTTTATTCCCTTTGGCTTATATTGAGCAATCAGCTTTTCCACTTTTAACATTTCCCCCTTATCCTGATGTGACAAATCATACATTCGCTTCGGCGCCTGCTCTTCTATACAAATTATACTAAAAGCTAATATTTCTGACTCTTCTGTGATTTGGTCATCATAGACTTTGCTGTTTTCGAAACTGCCCAACGTGACCACTTCCGCATTACCGATTCCACCCAGCACTCGTTTATTATTGTTTGGTTTAACAATAAAATTCAGCTTATCAACTGTGTCTGCCCAGATCAAACACAACCAACTGCTCGTATCTATCAAAGAAATAAAAATTGTGTTCCCTTCCTTTACTATTTTAAATTTTCGTCGAAAATCTGCAACTGAAGGTTTGAACGTTACTTCAGTTATTGTGTTCAAATTATCTTTTTCACTTTTGATTTTAACCATTGGACATTCGTAGCGCTTATGGCCTATCTTGTTGCACTTATAACATCTAATTTGTTGATTTGTGCAATTCTGATACAGATAGACTTAGTTCTAGGGTAGGTTATGAATATGAGCCAATGTAATTGTGAGAGTCATGTTTGAAATCTAGTTTTTTAACATTCTGTTTATCGATAATAATATTTCATACAAATGCGGTGTGTCAACCAACTCATTCTTTTTTGCTTTAATTATTTCATTTATCATATCTGTGAGTTTATTAATTTGTTTCTGTGTTTCTGAATTAATTATTATTTGCCTATTATTTGCATCGACTAACCATTTAACTTTTTTAAAATCGGCCGCATCTGGCGTCCCGGCTATTACCTGAGTGCTGAGCCCAGGAAAGCCAGACTTCTTGCCATTCTATGGTGCACTTTTATTATTGATTTGTGCAATTCCTTGCTATGTGTGAAGTTTCGCCACATTTGAAACATGTCCGTTGGATATTTTCCTTCCCCTCTTCCCTGATATTGACTCCTTTCACAACTTCGACTTTTGATTTGTTTGTATCTAATTCTTTCATACATATTTATTTGCTCTTTTAATTCCCTTATACTTCTTGCTTGGTACAAAACCGTTTTGTTCACTTTTGAATCGGGTATGCCTAGTATGAAATTATCTATTACACTCGCTTCCTCCGATTTTGCTTTGAATGAATGTCCTAGCTGCTCCTCTGAGAAGCTGTTTTGCATAAATAAATTTATGGATTTCCGACCAGCCCATTATATGTGCATTTTCTTCAAAAGATTCTTCCATTGCCTTACCTCCTGTCCGTCTGTACCGTTAAATTACGCCAAGCTTTCCTCAATTTCTCTAAAGGTGAAATGAGGGACCGTGGATGACAGCGGACCTCTATTCGACACGCTTTCATAAAGTGGCACCACTGTTTCGTAATCGCTGTCACTTACTTCTCTTAACTTCTCTTTTAACAATATAATTTTAAAAATTTTGACCTGTTAATTCGCTATTCCTGGAATTGCCTCAGCCACTCGAACCAGCTCCAACTGCTTTCAATCGACTTTTTTCCTATTTTGCTGCGCAACCGTTTCCTTGTACTAACCGTGATCAGTTCATTGCAACTTGTTGATGACGCTCAACGCTCGCTGTCTGTGCACTTGTGCCGCTGTCGCACCTGCACTATTCACTGCCTTCAACCGTTTTGTTGTATTAACCGCAACCCATTCGTTGCAACTTGTTGGTGACTCTCCACCGTAATAAATCGAAATTGTAAATTTTTACTGCTTTTAACTGCATCTGTTGCGCTATTGCGGGGCAACCGTTCTGTTTATGTTTAATTCTCATGCGGGAATTATGGCTGCAACACGTTATACACCCACGCACACCAATCAATCAGCAAACATACAAAATTTTAACGGCAGCGTTTACCAGAGACGAGGTGCTACTTGTCTATATTTCGCTGGATATTTAAGGTTGGTTTCACTGTCACTCTATTGTTTACTGCTGCATTTACGCCATTGTATGGATATATGTCACCTTCCACGTATTATCCCGGTTGAGCACCCAACTTGTAAAGTGTTATGTGATATAGTCGTATTTATTGTTATTATTATTAATTGTTTTAATATTAATACTCCAATTACTGAGTACACTTTCTTTTTCTTACAACAATGTTCCGATTAAAAACACACTTTTAGTTTTACAGTAATATTTAAATTAAAATACAGATCAGATCATTATTTTCGTTCTCCTACTTGAATGTTCAAAGTCCAGTCCTCATCTGATCTTGTCGGTTTTTAGTTCGTTAGCGTCGCGCCCTATTCGTCCAGTACGTGGCATCCCTTTTGTCCAGTCAGTGTTGTCGTATGTCAAATATGTTCAGTCCGCATGGACGCATTCCTTCGTTCACATGGTCGTATTTCTCCGTCCCACATAGATAAAATCGGTTCAATACTAAAACTACCCCCCATATACCTGATATCCAATTTTCAAACTTCCCGTTAGCTTTATACCGTTTACATCGGACAATATGTAGGATATCTTTGCGAATTTAACTGCCTGCCCCAATATATCTTATAGTGGTTTCCGACTATCCACCTAAACCGTTTAGGTTGGTCAAAATGTGTGATATTTTAATAATAACAAAGTGGATAAATTTTACGAAAAATTATATGATTTAATGCTGAATATTAATGGAATTGGTCTGGACCTTGGCCCAAACCTCAAATCCGATTCCGATCCTTCGGTTGACGTTTGCCACATCAACCATTTGAGAATCTCAGTTGACACAGACAACCAATGACCGAAGCTTCGTTTTTTGCTTTCATGTCAGAGTCAATGTGTCGAATAGTGCGACGACAAAGCGTCACAACATTGTGTTATTGGTAAAAAATCCGAGCTGTGCCAAGAAAAATCTGCTTCCTTTGCCGCTGTAACAGTTTTGCCAATAAACCATCGTAAATACAATGTCTTTTTATGTACAGCATGCATACATATCGACGCAGATTTTTGCAAGTGACGGAAAATTATTTTAGAATTAACAAATATTTTAAATCGAGAAGAGCTATGTTGCCACGTTGACATATTTTTCTGTGTTTTACGGGTTTGCGGGGTTGTCACTTTTCCTTTCTAGAATGAACATCAAAAAGTTGCTCAATTTATTATTTCTAGCTTTTGCCATCGTCGCGAAAAGACGCTTGTAGGCAAACGCATGTGCGGGGAGATAAGGGGGTGTCTGTTTTTATGAATAATGCGAAGTTGCCTGTTGAAGGGCGCTTGCGTTCATGAATATAAATGTTGTTGTTGTGTGATATTTAATACTATAAATTTGGGCTTCGGCTATTTGGCTGCCATATTGACATGTGACGATTGTTGTTTTTGTAGAACAATATTTGTATTTTTTGCTGATGACATAATTACATGTGTACGCATATAAAAATTTTAATATATTAAAATAGTAATAGTATATGTAAATCACACGTTTCATCATTTCAAGCTTATATTCACAAATATCAGGTACATGCATATTTATGTATGTAAGTAGAATTAATATTCAAATCAAGATATTATCACTTATCACTAATAAAATGTACGGGCACTGCTCTGTACGTACATACATACGTTCATTGAGTATACATATATAAGTTGTCGTGATATTATCCTTCATTGCTTTTTGCTTCAGCCACTGGGGTTCCACCATCTATACTTCGTGGAAGTTGTCTGCGAGCGGATCAGACCGAGATTGTAGTGCACCGATGGCTGCTAATCTCCAACGATTGGTATTATTACAATCGCAAGTTCCCTGGAGTTATCTTAGTCAGTTAATTTCTGAACAGTAACTGTACTGTTTACCTTGCTCGGGCCCCAGTTATTTCTGCCGCAAAAATAATGAACAATTATTTTACTATAACACGTCTTGTTTATTTGATGAGTCTTTGGGAACTAACTGATATTACAAAATTGGACTTAAAGCTAGACCTAAAAGTTGAACCCATTAGCTACAAATCTACAGCCGGCAAGCCGACTCAGCATAAGCGATAACGTAGAAATATGCAGCATAGTTAAATATCAGCTTACCGCAGCTGACCTAGTAATCAGGCCACTGAACTCATGCTTCAACGGAATAAATAAAGATAACTATAAGTTTCTTAATCCTTATGTGTTAACTACTTCCCCCTCAAGTCGATGACCGTCCTCGGTTATTTTCTAGTTGTTGATAAACTTCTATACCTACCGCGAAGCTTGTCTTTTCTTTGAGATTTGCCATATGATGATAAAGCCACTTAAGATGACGCTGAGAGCAACACCGGCGATAACCCATGTATTGAATGAGTCGGTGGACGCCAGCTTGCCCTTGACATCTTGGACGACACGCACGAAGATTGACGTTGTTCATTCTATGGAGTTGCGGCATAGTCAAGCCTGGGTCGTGAGTAACGATGTTAAGCAGCGGTGCCTCCGCTATGCCTAGCTTCCTATTTAGTATCTCACGCTGGTTCACATATTTCGTGCCATTGATGATTGCGGAAAAACGGAAGGTGACGAGGTGTGTGTGTTGTTATGCTCTCGTTGATAATTATGATTCCATCATCTACTTGCGAGATAGGCTTCAGATAACTTGGCGGAGTGCGGCAGAAGGCCACGCCGCTATCATGCAGTGCTCGTGAACAAGTGTCTTGTGCCGTCAACTTGCAAACAGATGCGAATGTTGTTGTTACGCATTCGTTAACCGCTAGTACGTCATCGTTGAATTCGGCATTCGGTGTCATCTTGTAGCTGTAGTGTTACATGTTGATGTGATACCAGGAAAATGGTGACTCTGGTACAGATAAACTTAGTTCTAGTGTAGGCTATAAGTATATGAATTATATTATCGGACTGTAGGACCTTAATCTTCGATGCCTTAGTTAGGCTAACTATGGGGATCTCTACGGGGTGTTCCTTTAAGATTCTCTCCAAATCTTCATGATCAAAAATAGTGGGATTTATTATGTTAGCCTTAGCCAATGTAATTGTGAGACTCAAGTTTGAAATGTAGTTTTTTAACATTCTGTTTATCGATAATAATGTATAATGTTTCATACAAATGCGGGGTGACAACCAACTCATTCTTTTTTGCTTTAATTATTTCATTTATCGTATCTGTGAGTTTATTAATTTGTTTCTGTGTCTCTGAATTAATTACTATTTGCAATTCTGATACAGATAGACTTAGTTCTAGGGTAGGCTATGAATATGAGCCAATGTAATTGTGAAAGTCATGTTTGAAATCTAGTTTTTTAACATTCTGTTTATCGATAATAATGTTTCATACAAATACGGTGTGTCAACCAACTCATTCTTTTTTGCTTTAATTATTTCATTTATCATATCTGTGAGTTTATTAATTTGTTTCTGTGTTTCTGAATTAATTACTATTTGTCTATTATTTGCATCGACTAACTTTGGACCATTTAACTTTTTTAAAATCGGCCGCATCTGGCACGCGGCTATTACCTTGTGTGCTGAGCCTAGGAAAGCC